GGCGGCCGGGGCGTAGGGCGGCCTGACCAGCCTCCAGGCCGTGCTCGGGCGCGCCCCGCCCCGCCGCCGCCCGAACAGTTGTTGACAACGGCGTCCGGGCCTGCCCTGCGCGCCAGACGGAGCGACTCGCGCGCGGCGCAGAGCCCTTCTTTGGCTGGAAGACCCTTTTTGCTGGGGGGCTTTTGTATCCGGCGTGGGCCCGGCGTGCAGCTCGGAGAGACGGTCTTCACCGCGAGTGCGAGGAGCTCCCAACCTCGGTTCCCTCCCAGGCGTAGCAGGCGGGTGTCGTGGAGTGAATGAGCACACCGTAAGCAACTGCATGGCTCCTCTCTGCGTCCTGTCGCCCCACAGCTGTAGTTAGCGTTTATGGGAAGCCCGTTGTGTGCTAGCTCTTGTTAGGCACGCTCTGTCGTTTAAACTTCCCCCAAACCGAAGAGGTAGATAGCTGCGTTTTACAGATGAGGAAACTGAAGTTTCACAGCTAGAAAAGAGCCAGATTCGGAACCCAGGTATGTCTGAGACCAACGCCCATCCCTCCCACATACACTGACATCACAGAGATGACACAGCTCTCAACAAATACTTAGTGGGTATCTCTTTGGGGGATAGACTTACACGCATGGAGCATATGCGGGGAATATGGTTGGTCTTGGCCTTTAAGAAGTTAAAAATCTAGGTGGAGAGTTTTTAAAAAATAACTAGCAGTTTTACACTCTGCCGTCACCCCGTCTTTCCATCTTCATCACCTGCCACTTTTTCTTTACTTCTACTTATTTTCGTTTGCCTTCACTTTGCCCTTTGAGTGAAATGTCCCCTTTTTCACCTCCTCTCTCTCTCCAGACATTTTTTAATTGCGTGAAATCCTACTCTTTCCAAAAAGACCAGCTCAAATGTCACCTTTTCCGGGTAGGTTATCCCAGCCTCCTTCCAGTCGGAATTAGTGTCTCTGCTATATTCCCTTAGTGATTTCATACTGCCATTAAGGCTTAAGTCTCACTCTGTGTCCTTGTAAGCATGTCTTTCTGCACCTCTAGACCATGCCTTCTCATCTTTCTATTCGTATTTAAATAAGCATATTTTGAATTGGATTTAAGGCGGTGATGAAAGCCAAATGTCTAGTCATCAGCCCTATAGGAGTTCAGAGAAAGGTGCAAACACTGATGAGTTTGGGACTTGAGCCACATCTTAAAGGGATGGCGTTAGTTTGCTAAGCTGAGCGCTGAAGACCTGGAAGTCCTGCCTTTCCTCCTCACTGCGCAGAGTGAGTTACTTCATCCTTCCTGAGCTCATTCCCAGCATGTGAGGAGGATAAAATTAGAAGTGTTTTTGTTTGTCCTTTCTCATAGAATATGCTGGTAATGTTATGTTTTGGGTCTTGGAACATTTCCAGAGCCAAATGGGATTTAGGACAGAGAGGAGATGGGTGTCTGGAGTAGGATGTTGGAAGGTAAAAGGGCAGTATATTAAAGCAACCTTTATATTAATAATACAGGCCTGTCATTCAGTAACTGTGATTCAGTAAAATGTCAGTTCCAGTAACTAAATTCTATTTAATGGAGGTATCTGAAATTTCAGATAATTATGTCAAGTGATTGTTCTCCTCTGTCTAATGTGCAGAAGAGAGTCTGCCAAATCTCCTGAAAGCAGTAGACATTTCTTTTGATCCATGGATTACTTTCCAGGTGTGTAATAAAGTCTAAATAGTGTTTATGAAAATGTTTTCTGGCCTTCAAGTGCTAATAGTACAAATGCTAATTATTTTTAGTATTATAAATGTGGAAACATTGTGTCTGTCTTCTCCCTTAATTGGAAACATTGTTCCTATTCTAATCAGCTGCTAGAAAAGTTAAAACCCCACCCAAATGCATATATTATGGTTGTGTGCAGCTTCCTACTTTACTCACCATCTTTTCCTGCTGATTGGCAAGGAGTTAATAAAAATATTTGCCCCACACATTCTTCTTAAAATTCTCTCTTTTATCTGTCATCTCGGGTATCTTATCCACATAATAAGATCAGGGAACCAACTCTTCAACCCAGTATATTCACTTGGAAGCCTGATTAAAAGCATTATTTCCAAAAGCATGTATTCCAAAGCTGACAGTTTTCCTGTCAGCTTTTAGGAATGAAAGTAAAGCATTTAAGAATTGAATCATCCTTTGATTAAAATAGAAGCAGGCAGTTTATAGTGTTATCTTCTAACAGTTTAAGGCCCCATGTTCTCGTGACGTGGTACTCAGGAGTGGGACAGAAATATTCAAGCTTCTTACTCTCTCTCTCGGGTGCAGATCCATAAATTTGATCAATTACAAGTGTCATTTTACAGATATCTGTTGAATCGTTGAAGTAGAATATTATAGCTGGATAAGATCTTAGCAAGCCCATTTCTTTTGCAGATGAGAAAACTGAAAGCCAAAGAGATTAAGTGATTTGCCCAGAGTCACACTGCTAGTTAATGACAGAGCTAGAATACTTTGGTTCATTTTTTTTCTTTCCTAGGAAAGTGAATAAACTTAATTGAGAATGTCTGAAAACCTTGACAAGTCCAATATCAATGAAGCAGGAAAATCAAAATCAAATGATTCTGAACAAGGCCTCGAAGATACTGTGGAAGGTTCTGAAGAAGCTTTACAGAAAAAAATAAAGTCCGGCTCTCCCAGCACCCAGAGAGTGCAAAGACCTCACTGTAAGCAAATCTGACTTTGGTTAGAAGCAATATTGTCATTGTTTTCAGATGATATTTTTATTAGGCTTCCTTGTACAGGTGGCCCTGAGCTAGGTTCTAATAATATGATAACATTGCCAATAATTAGCATTTAAGAAGAGCAGCAGTTTCTCAGCTGGCAGCCTAGTCACTTGTGGGTTTTCAATTCCATGAGAAATTAAGATTTTAGAATAATGTCCAGAATGTTCCTGTCTTCCTCTAGCCTCTGTGACATTCCAGTTTCTCTGAAGTGTTCTGAGAAATAGGAGGGTGGAGTGCAAATCGCAGCTTTATTTATTTATTTTTTTTTGTGAGGAAGATCAGCCCTGAGCTAACATCCATGCTAATCCTCCTCTTTTTGCTGAGGAAGACCAGCTCTGAGCTAACATCTATTGCCAATCCTCCTCTTTTTTTTTTCCCTCAAAGCCCCAGTAGATAGTTGTATGTCATAGTTGCACATCCTTCTAGTTGCTGTATGTGGGACGCGGCCTCAGCGTGGCCAGACAAGCGGTGCGTTGGTGCGCGCCCGGGATCCGAACCCGGGCCGCCAGTAGCGGCGCGCACGCACTTAACCGCTAAGCCAGGGGGCCGGCCCCAAATCGCAGCTTTAATTAAAAGTGTTTGAAAAGTCTGAGGCAGGTTCCAGCCGGGACTGTGTTGGTGTATGTTAGGAAAAAAACGATTTTTGAATGTGAGTTCACCACATCTAACTTCCCTGCCTGGGGGCTTAGTTCCCATGAGGTTGAGGGGATTCACTTTGCTGAAAGTGTGTGAAGAAGTCATTTCAGCTCCCTGGTGAGGAGCAGGCCTCCTAGATGCGGGGGGGCCGCTTTCTGCATATATTCCCAGCAGTGCCCCAACTCATGTCTTTTATTAAGAATACTTACCCTTTTTGAAGTGAGTCTAAAAATGAAAATTTTCAGAGTGAGTGTCATAGTCTAGGAATGTCAGTGTTGATGCTGTCTCTTTAGAGTGTAGATGATAAGTAATTCTCCATCTTTGGAGTGCAAACATTTTTGGGTTTGAGGTGTGTCTCCTTTAAAATTATGAAAGCCTTTCCCAGGTAATTTATTAGTCAACATAGTATTCTTATAGCAGACATTAGCGGACCCCCTTTTATTGTGGTTTATTGTCACATAGATTTTGATAAGTACACTCCTAGGTCACATTGTGTTCAGGGACAATGCATGTGTCAGGCCTTGTCTCCAATACGTATAGTTAGAAATCTTCTGTTTTCTCATTTTTAAAATGAGGAAAATACACTTATCTCTTAGGATGGTTGTAAAGATTAAATGAATTCATGTAAAGCATTTAGAACAGTGCTTGGCACATCATAAATGCTTAATAAACATTAGTTGTTAATACTACTGCTACTAACGTGTCGTCTGTTGCGGTTAAAGACACTGAGACTGCCTGCTCTGCCGTAGGTGTGGATGACCAACACGATGGTGTTATCATCTGCAGTTTCTGAGAAAGGGGGACCTTTGGTGTAGATCTTAGTCATTCTTTGATGGATGGCCTTGCCTTTGGTGTCCTGTCGGTTTGATGGCATGACTCTAAATTAATGTCAAACCAACCCTAGATGACATTATCTGAAATTGTATGTAGTTATGTCCTTAAGGCAAGAATACTTATCCGGGGACCCATGATCAAGTGTTAGGGAATCCAGAAACAGCCAAAAACAGTGTATCAACATTTGTGTGTATATTCTTTTTTCTAGGAAGAAGGTCATGGAAGCTTTCATTAAATTCTCATAGAGGTACATACCAAAATGAGGTTTAAAATTGGTGCCCTAAAATCTTCCTTCTGGCTTTCTTGCTCTTTCTCCTTATAGTAATAGGGAGGTACAGGGCTGTGGGCCCCAGTGGTAAAGCTAAGACCCCGCAGTCTCAGGACCAGGTCAGGAGGCATCACTGCCCACGCAGAACATAAGTATACATTTACAAAATGGGGATGAGCTGGCTGCAGACATTTCACCCACACTGTGTACATGTGTAGCTCCTGAGTTTAAAGTAACTCTGAAATCACATCTGGAATTAAACAAATTAAAATGTAAATAGCAAAAAGATAACCTTTAGTCTTGCAAGTTATAATACAGAGTAATCTTTCTTTTCTTTGGTGAGGAAGATTCACTCTGAGCTAACATCTGTTGCCAGTCTTCCTCTTTTTTTTTTTTCTTTTTTGCTTGAGGAAGACTAGCCCTGAGCTAACATCTGTGCCAGTCTTCCTCTATTTTGTATGTGGGTCACCGCCACAGCATGGCTTGACTAGTGTTGTAGGTCCATGCCCAAGGTCCGAACCCACGAACCCCGGGCCGCTGAAGTGGAGCGCACCAGACTTAACCACTACACCACAGGGCCAGCCCACAGAGTAATATTTTAAGGGTAGAATTGCTATTGGTAACTGTGATATTGTGATTTATAATAAACATGTATTTGGTCTTCACCCCATTTCTGGCACAGAGCTCCTAAAACCATTGGAATTTCCTAAGTAATGAGAACTATAAAGGTGTTTTTTGTTATGTTAATGAAGTCACTTTTGGAAAGCCCCTGGGTAACCTCAGGAAGGGGGCTGATTGCCAGGGGACCCAACCCTGTGATTGGAGAGTTGGAACTTTCAGTCCTACCCCAGACCTCAAGGGAGGGGAGAGGGGCTGAAGGTAGAATCAGTCACCAGTGGCCAATGATTTAATCAAAAAAGCCTATGTGATGAAGCCTGCACTTCCAAGGTGGTGAGTACATGGAGGCGCTGGGAGAGGGGCGCTGGGAGAGGCATGGAAACTCTGTGCCCTTTCCCCACGCCTCACCCTATGCATCTCTTCCACCTGGCTTTTCCTGAGTTACGTTCTTTTATGATAAACCAGTAATCTAGTAAGTAAAATGTTTCTCTAAGTTCTGAGAGCTGGTCTAGCAAATTAATTGAACCCAAGAAGGGGGTCATGGGAACCTCCCATCCAAAGCCAGTTGGTTAGACTCGCAGGTGACAACCTGGACTTGTGATTGGCATGAGTGGTGTCTGAAGTGGGGGCAGTCTTGTGGGACTGAGCCCTTAACCTGTGGGATCTGACGCTATCTCCATATAGTGTCAGAATTGAGTTGAATTGTTAGGACCCCCAGCTGGTGTCTGAAAATTGCTTGGTGGTGTGGAGATAAAACCTTGCCTAATCCGAGGTGTTGATTTGATTCTGAAAGATGATCTGTTCCTTAAACAGAGAGATCCTCAGAGTAAGGACCGGTAACTATAACTCAGTGATGTCTCCTCTGAGATCATCTATTTCTGTATACTTTAATTCTCTGCTCACAAAGCACTATCTGCTCTAGTGTTTAATCATCTCATTGACCAGTAAAAGATGCCGTATTCAGATGAAAATCATCAACTGTTATTCCAGTTAATATTTACCATTTAGCGTTTTGGTTTATTATATAAAGTCCTTGTGAGTTTAATTAGTAGGTCCCATCATCCTTAGATAAATGGATGACACTGAGCTCTTACATTTCTAAAGCTTATGACTAGGGTTTGAATTACAGTGTCCCTATATTCAGTCAATCAGTCAGTGGCTATTGAGTGCTTACTGTGTATCAGGGACCTAGCAGTGAACCAGGCACATCCCACATGGTCTCTGTCCTGATGGAGCTTGCAGTCGAGTGAGAAAGACAAAGCAACAAGACCAAGTTTCCACACAATGTAATAAGTTCTGTGGATAAGCTTCACCGACTCACTGGGTAGGAGCTGTTTGGGTGATGTTTGCCATCTGCCCTCCATAAGTGTTCATCCACTTTTGTGACTAGAAGCATCTCTTTAGAATGTGTAGACTTCTCAGATCCCAGAATACCTCAGTAAAGAAAGGTAGAGTAGGACCATTCTAAATTAGATCTTGGTTCTGTTTTGGAATCTGTTCTCCAGCCTTCCAAAGGGCGTGTTTAACTTAATGTGGTTTCCAGTTTCTCTAACAGGTCGTCAGTGCACAAACTCTCTTAACAGAATTTAGCAACAACTTAAGCTTTATATTGCGTAGTAAAATAAATTCCAGGGAAAAATACATGTAACCTTACCATTTTTCGTGGTACTCATTACAACTCAGGTTCTCTTCACAAGTTGAGTGGAAGCCAGGTTGTCCACCAAATTGCATCTTTAAAAGTTCTCATTTATGAAATTGGTAAATTTGAGAACTTTCAAAAAAACAAAAGAACCCACCCCACAACCCTATAATTAGCATGCAATGAGTAATTCCTGTGTATGTAGATCTGCAACACATCCTGATCATATCTTAGAATTGTAGCTTTTATCTTTCTTGATCAGGTACCCTCATGATTAAGTCTGATTTTAAGCAGTCTCTAACTTGGACAACTCCTGAAAACCACCTTCTTCCTGGTTGTCTGATGTTCTCAGCACTTGGTACAAGGTGTTTAGTCCCAAATATGCCCAAAACACTGAGAACACACTTGCCTAGGCTTTGGAAGAGCCTCATCTTTCATGGAACATCCTTCCGTCTTCTCTCCTTTTTGCATATTGGGAAGTAGTGGGCCTGGGAGATTTAACTGGCTTGTTCAGGGTCACACTCTACACAGACTAGAGGAAGCAGAGCTTCTTCCTGATTTGCTCTGTCCACTGCATTACACGACCAGGCAGCGTATAAACGCTGTCCATTTGTCGCTACCCAAATGCCTAAAATTGTTGAAAAATAGTAAATGTACTGAGAGAACTTGGTGTGTTTCTTTTATTTTCATAAATTTAAGATCAGACATTTTAGTATTTTTGCAAAACCAAGGTTGAAACAAAACTCGGAAGCCCTGGTGACAATCTCTACATTTCTTTTTAAGAGATTAGAACTTGATGGAGTTTAATAACTCCTGATGCATGACATTGATATACCACAGTGGAAGTTCCATTTTCTAATAAGTGGTAACAGATAATAGTAGCTTGAAGAAATTTAATAATCAGTATATATTTAGCAAATCGCTACTGAGTGCCTTAAAATTTTTCATTAACTTTATTGAGGTATAATTTGTACATAATAAAATTCACCAATTTTAAGTGTGCAATTTGATGAGTTTTGACAAATACATTTACAATTGCATCACTACCACCACAGTCATGAGCTGCTGGAACATTTCCATCACCCCTCAAAATTCTTGTGTCCCTTAGCAGTAAATCTTTTCCCCCCACTCCCAGCCCTTGGCAACCACTGATCTGCTTTCTGTTGTTATAATTTTGCCCTTTATATAATTTCATATATAGTCTTGTATCTCACTCTTTCACTTTGCATAATGCTTTTAGGATTCATTCATATTTTTGCATGTGTCAATAGTTTATTCCTTATTTATTGCTGAGTGGTAGTCCATTGTATGATTATCCTATGATTGGTTTCTCCAATCTGCAGCTGATAGACATTTGGATTAGTTTCAGGTTTTGACTTTTGAATAAAGCTGCCATTAACATTTGAGTACAAGTCTTCACTTGGCCATATGTTTTCAATTTTCTTGGGTGAAGACCTGGGAGTGGGATTGCCGGGTCATGTGGTAAGTTATATTTTACTTTATAAGAAACCAAGAGACTGTTTTCCAAAGTGATTGTGCCATTTTGCATTCCCACCACTTATGCGTAAGAGTTCCAGATGTTCTGCATCTGTGCCAATGCTTGGTATGATCAATCTCTTTAGTTTCGGCCACTCTAGTAGGTGTGGTATCTCGCTGTGGTTTTCATTTGCATTTCCCTGATGATTAATGGTGTTGAGCATCTTTTCATGTGCTTACTGGCCATTTTTTATATCTACTTTGGAGAAATGTTTCTTCAAATCTTTTGCCCACTTTTGATTGGTTGTCTTCTCTTATTTAGTTATAAGAACTCTATATATTCTGGATAAAAATCCTTTATCAGATATGTTTTGCAAATATTTTCTCCTATCTGTGGCATGCTTTTCCATTTTCTTAATAGAATCTTTTACAGAGCAAAAGTTTTAAATTTTGATAAAGTCTAGTTTATCAATTTTTTCTCTTATATTTTGAGCTTTTTTAATCCTATCTAAGAAATTTTACCTAATCCAGGATCATAAAGATTTTCGCCTATGTTTTCTCCTAGAAGTTGTATCGTTTTAGCTTTTATGTTTAGGTCTGCAGTCCATTTTGAGTTAGTTTTTGTTTATCGTGTTAAGTGAAGGTGAAGGGCTATCCTTTCACATAGATATCTAATTGTTCCAGCACCATTTGATAGAAACCCTAATCTTCCCTTCTTGACTACATGCACACGTGGGTGTGTTTGTGTCAGTCTGCGTCTAGATCCTCTGCTCTGTTCAGTTGATCTGGATATCTGTCTTCATGACAAAACCACGCTGGCCTTATTGTAGCTTTATAGTAAGTCTTGAAATCATTTAGTATAAGTCCTCCAACTTTATTCTTCTTTTTCAAAATAGTTTTGGCTTTTCTACGTCCTGTGCATGTCCTTTTAAACTTTAGAATCAGGGCCGGCCCCGTGGCTTAGCGGTTAAGTGCGTGCGCTTCGCTGCCGGCGGCCCGGGTTCGGATCCCGGGTGCGCACTGAGGCACCACTCCTGCAGCCATGCTGAGGCCGCGTCCCACATACAGCAACTAGAAGGATGTGCAGCTATGACAGACAACTATGTACTGGGGCTTTGGGGGAAAAATAAATAAATAAAATCTTTAAACTTTAGAATCAGTTTAGCAGTTTCAACAAAAAAGGATTTTGATTGGGATTGCGTTTTATCAATAGACCAATTTGGTGGAAATTGACATCTTAATAATATTGAGAATTGAGAAGATCTATCTCGGCTTTGATTTTGGATATTTATTATATTTTACCAGTATCCATTAAGCAAATTTTATTGTTTATTTAGTATTTTTATTAATATTCTCTGGAAATGCTGAGAAGAATCTTGTGAGTTTTCCTGACTTTCCCTTATGTGACCAAATAAAGATTTTTACGAGACAGGATATGACCAGCTCTTAGATTTGGTTCCTTTTTTCAGTGAGCAAAGGAAAAAATAAGGAGGAAAATAGCTTTTCACTAACCTAAGAAGATCTTTATAACTATTAAACCCTGTGCAAACCAGTGACGTTATTTATCTCATTTTTTAAGCCCAGATCGTATCACTATCACATAAAATTAATATAGTCACCTTCTAGGCCGGTGTTTTTCAAAGTATGGGGTCTGGGACCATCAGTATCAGCTGGAGACTTGTGAGAAATGCAGGTTCTCTGGCCCCACCCCAGACCAGCTAAATCAGCAACACTGAGAGGGGGCCCAGCAACCTGTTTTCACAGCCCTCCCTCTGATTCTGATAGCCGCTAAAAAACTATCATGGACTTTTTTTAAAAAACAGCTTTGTGGAGGTATAATTGATATACCAAAAAATGCACGTATTTGATCATAGACTTTTTAAGAATAGGAATTACTCTTTGTTCCTTGGCTCAGAGCACCTGGGGAGTATGAGAACTTTCTGGAAGATAAATCTCAAGCTTTATCTAAAGAAAGAGAGCAGAGACAAGCTAGGAGGCGATGGCAGCAGTTGTTACAGAAGTCAAGGCTCCAGGACCTGGAGAAGGGGCAGTGGGAAGAGAGAAGCAGAGATGACTCTGAAGGTTTTGATTCTGTGGCCTGCACTCCGCAGAATTCTGTGTCACCCACCCTCTGATTTGTTCATTGGTCCATTGCAGAACTCGCATGTTCTGTCTCAGAACTGTGGCCAGGGTAGTGGTTTCAGCATTGTGTAAATAGCACCTGACACCGTCAAGTACTCAGTGCTGTTTTAATGTGGGGAGGTTCATTCGTGGCACAGTGCTAGTGTGGAGCAAGGTGTCAACAGTGATGGGAGCAAAAAGGAGCTCTTAAATCTGGTGTCTCCTTTTCTTCGTTTAGGATACACTGGAGGAAGAGAGATTGGAAGATAAACCCTCAGCTTGTTGGAAAACTGATAGGCTGTAACTTAAAAAAAGTTTTTCTAAGTCTCAGTTTACTGTGATCATCTTCCATTGACCAGTCTTAGTGAAAAACCGATGTTTTGAGTATTGTAAATGATGTCTGCTTTTAGGATGCTAGGTTAAAAGAAAGCATGAATATGCAATAGGTAAAACTCTGTTGTTTGAAGTTGCCAGAATATTTTCATAAATAGAGGTGTAACTGACATTATTAGCTGGTACTAGAACCACTGCCTTCTCCTTACTTTAATAGCAATTCTAATCTAGAGAAGCAAATCTCTTAGGTTGGGTTTTTGTTACAGCTAGTCCTCCTCGATTTGTGACAGTGGAAGAACTTTTAGAGACAGCAAAAGGAGTCACTAACATGGCTCTAGCCCATGAAATTGTTGTAAACGGAAACTTTCGGATTAAACCAGTTGAATTACCAGAAGACAGGTAAGGTGGTTACTGAGTTATCTTGTTTAGTAGAACACTGCCATTTCCCAGTTCTAGAAATGTTTTCTTCACTTGATGTCAATATATTCACATATATTTTTCCTTTTGTATGTTGTTGCTAAAAAATATTCCTTATACTAGAACTACTGGAGTTTGAAAGTGGATCTCAGAATCACTGATCCTTCAAAATGTACATCAAAGGTCTGGAAATCTCCTGTGGAAATCTTTCATGTCAGCTTCTCCCTACTCCCTAGTATTTTGCTGCCTCATCTTGTGTCTTCTTTGCATTGTTTCATTCATTTCTTCGTTGTAACTACCACATTGTACTGTGGTTGCCAGTTTACTTGTGCTCTTCACCAGTCTGTAAACTACAAAGACAAGGACTGTGCGTGATTCTCCGTATCCCCAGAGCCTGGCACATATATTGAATCTAAAACTCTGTTGATTGGAAGGTGTACCTTTTAAAATGTATTATCATAGGAAAGAAAAAACATTGCCCATTACAATTGGGGAAGTGCCATGAAAAACGTTGGGATTCTGTTAACAAAGGAGGAATGGCTCCTGGGTTGGCAAGCTGTGGTGTCTCTCACATGAGGCTTCTAAATAGGACTTTGCAAACATTTTTTGTATGTTCTGCAAAGATAGTACTTTTTCACATTAATCACGAAGAATTACTTGTTTTGCTCTCATGACATAAAGACTACTGGGTTTTTTTTGGGTTTTTTTTGTGAAGAAGATCGGCCCTGAGCTATCATCTGCCAATCCTCCTCTTTTTGCTGAGGAAGACTGGCCCTGAGCTAACATCCGTGCCCATCTTCCTCCACTTTATATGGGACGCTGCCACAGCATGGCCTGACAAGTGGTGCGTCGGTGCGCGCCTGGATCTGAACCGGTGAACCTCGGGCCCGCCGCAGCGGAGCACGCGCACTTAACCGCTTGTGCCACTGGGCTGGCTCCTGTAAAGACTAGTTTTAATGAGGTTTTATATATAAGTGGTTATAGTTTGGTACCTAATTAAGCAGTTGTCCCATATATCACATGGGAATAGTATATTTTTAGGAAATAAAATCTTGCAACCTATATATAAGTATGTCTGGAAAATCTTTCCTTCATCCAAATTATTTTAAAAATTTCTCATCCTAAACCCATAGAATTTGTGCTTTTGAAAGTGATTTGAGGCTCAGATATTTTGTTTTTGCTTTTTTTTTTTGTTTCATTTGCCTCCAGCTTGGAGAAGAGAGTAAAGGATATTGTACATAAAGCTTTTTGGGATTGCCTGAGTGTCCAGCTCAGTGAAGACCCCCCAGCCTATGACCATGCCATCAGACTGCTTGGAGAGATCAAAGAGGTGAGGGCCGAGCCCGTGCAGTGCTGGCCTGGTGTGCGGAGTGTTTCCTCAACCTCTCTGTGTTACTTGGCTGAAGACTTTAAAGAAATCAAAGGATCAAGAAGTTAAATTACTTGCCGAAATGTGGATTTAGAGTATTTTTGGCTTAATGCCCTTTTTAAAAATTTCAAACGAGCTATGATAACCTAAAGATATTACTCTTGTAAGGGAAGAAAGGGTTCATATTTTAAAAACAGAATTATTCGGGGGCCGGCCCGGTGGCATAGCAGTTAAGTGCACGTGCTCCACTGCGGCGGCCCGGGGTTTGCAGGTTTGGATCCCGGGCGCACACCAACGCAGCACTTGTCAAGCCATGCTGTGGCGGCGTCCCATATAAAGTAGAGGAAGATGGGCACGGATGTTAGCCCAGGGCCAATCTTCCTCAGCAAAAAGAGGAGGATTGGCATGGGTTGTTAGCGCAAGGCTAATCTTCCTCAAAAAAAAAAATTTTTTTGAAGAAAACAGAATTTTCTTTAAACAAAATATTTTGCAAAATATAGGTGATTTATAAAATTTTTAATAGGTGTGGACATTTTCAATTTATAATGGCCAAAAAGTGCTTCAGTCTGTGGGATCGAGAAGGCATTCAGAGGAAGGCAGGACTGTTTCTGCAATACCTTTAGCATCAGAGAAACAGCATATCATGGAGATTGGCGTCTGTGGTTGGCTTACAGGCTCACAGTAATTAATGTGTTTTCCTTTTCTCACTTTTAACAGTTTTTTCTTCTTGTGTCCAGTTGATTGCTACCTAGCACTTAAATGGCAGCTTAAGTAAGCTCGTCTACATGATTTGTAAGTGTGTTTTTCTGTAGATTTGTTGAATAAGGGGTTAAAGTATGTACAACATTGTAGTGATGATCGGTAAGTCCTTATTTGGATAGTCGTAAATCCCTTTACGTATAATCAGAGATGATGTCTGACTAAGCTCCTTTGATTGAACTTTACTGTACTCTCTTGTAGACTCTCTTATCTTTCTTGCTGCCTGGTCATACTAGACTGAGAAACCAGATAAGAGAAGTCTTGGATCTGGATCTGATAAAGCAGGAGGCAGAGCATGGAGCCCTAGACATTTCCAAGCTGGCAGAATTCATTATTGGCACGATGGGGACACTGTGTGCACCTGCTCGAGATGAGGAAGTGAAGAAACTCAAGGACATTAAGGAAATAGTGCCCCTTTTCAGGTATGGGAATTGTGTTCATCACGTGTGCACCTAAAATACAGAGCTTGTCTTCAAGTTTAGACTTCCTCAAGTGTACATATTCATGCATTAAAAAGAAAATTTAAAAAGCAAACATTTTGGGGCCGGCCCGGTGGCGTACTGGTTTAGTTTGTGCGTTCTGCTTCAGCGGCCTGGGGGCGGGTCACAGGTTCGGATCCTGGGTGTGGAGCTATGCACCACTCATCAAGCCACGCTGTGGTGGGATCCGAAATACAAAAAAGAGGAAGATGGGCACGGATGTTAGCTCAGGGCCAATCTTCCTCACCAAAAAAATAAGTAAAAATAAAAAGCAAACATTTTGTAAAATATAGAAAAGTAGAAAGAATGAGAAAATTCACCCATAATTTTACCATCCAAAGGCACAATTACTGTTATCATGTTGATGTGTATTAGTTTTGTTTCCCTTAACATTGTATTTTGAAAAATTCCAAACCTACATATAGAAAAGTTGCAAAAACAGCAGTCAACACTCATATATCCTTTACATCCATCAGTTTTTAGCATTCTGTCAATTTGCTTTATCTTTTTATATATATGTGAGTATGTATGCATATGTGTATATTTTTTCCCCCTGAACCTTCTGAGGTTAATGGCAGACTTTGTGACCTTTTGTCACCCACTAGGTGCTTTGAGAAACTCAAAGGTGGGTTTGGAAGCAATTAACTGTTTTTCCAAGTTGTTTCTTTTCCTTTTGTGTGTTAAGGAGATGTAACCACCAGCCATCCTGAAACTGACCAAGCCTCACCACAAGAGCTATGCCCAGGACCTTTGCCTTATTTTTAATGCAAAGATCTCTCCAGGAGGAGCTTAGGCCTCATTGTGTGGAAGCATGTTCTCCAACTGAGCCTGTGCAAGCGAATACCCACCTCTTGCTTTTGAATATTCATTCCCCAACCAAATGAAAGTTCCTGCTTCCCTTTGTTCTGGGACACCATGAATTTGTAAATGATTCCTCATGGCCTCCTATTTGCTGCAAATACACTTTACTTTGTGAGACAACTTCCACTGGTGCAGAGTCTTATTTAACTCACCAGGAGGCAAGCCCACTTGGTTCAGTATCAGTTTCACCCTTAAACATTTCAGCAAGTACCTCCTAAGAATATGGACATTCTCCTACGTGATCAAAATACAACCAAGACATTCAAGAAATTTAACATTAATATGATGCTGTTAACTAATATATAGTCCATATACTTCTTTTGAATGTTTATTTTTAAATATATATAATTGTGATGAGATTTATATATATATTTTTTTTTTGAGGAAGATTATCCCTGAGCTAACATCCAATACCAGTCCTCCTCTTTTTGCTGAGGAATCTTGGCCCTGGGCTAACATCCGTGCCCATCTTCCTCTACTTTATATGGGATGCCGCCACAGCATGGCTTGACAAGCGGTGCGTCCATCCACACCTGGGATCCGAACCCGTGAACCCCGGGCCATCAAAGCGGAGCATGCAAACTCAACTGATATGCCACCAGGCTGGCCCCGAAATTTATATAATTTTTATGCCAATATGGGCAAAGGATTGACATGATGCTGCTTGAGAATTTAGATTTTTGGTTAACTGCTTCGTTCTATTTCCTGTAAACAGGTAAAGGTGTTATGTATCAAAATGTCGGTAGGCAACATTGCTTGCTGGGAAAATGACCTCTAATTGGTAAATTGCATCTGGACTGAAAGGAATGATAATGAACTATAAATACTGGATGAGACACCATACTTTGCACGTGGAGTAGGGTAACTGTTGTAACAGCATGCCTCTCTTGGAGACCCTAGAAGCTGAACCATAGAGTTGTTACCAAATATATTGGGACAGGAGGCTTTTAAAGCCAAGTGGCTCCCTCATGTCTGAGTTGTCTGCTCTTGGCTGATGCTGTTACCAAACCAACTGGGCTTGGCTCCTGATGAGTTAAAAAAAAAGTTGTCTCACAAAGTCAAGTGTATTTGCAGCAAATAGGAGGTCATGAGGAATCATTTCCAAAGTCATGGCTGTCCCCGAACAAAGGGAAGCAAGGACCTTTATTTCTGATAGGGAATGAATATTCAAAAGGGAAAGGTGGGTATTTACCCGCACAGGCTCAGTTGGAAAACATGCTTCCACACACTCTGCAGGTTATGGTAACAAGGCCTAAGCTCCTCCCAGAGAGGAGACTTAGCATTAAAAATGAGGCAAAGGTCATGGGCGTAGCTCTCATGGTGGGGCTTGATCTGGTTCAGGGTGGTTGGTGGTTGCATCTCCTTAACATAACAAAAGGGAAAAAAACGACTTGGAAAATGCTTCCAAACCCACCTTTGAGTTTCTCAGGGCACCTGGTCAGTCACAATACTGTAACTCTTGCTGAAGAGGAATGCTTGGTGCTGCCCTGTTGGCAAACTGTGTGAACAGACGATGCCAGACCTGTGGCTTATGGTAGTCTTGTAAGTCTGAATGTTCAGTTGAACCTAAGACTTCCTGGTGGGCCTTGCAGGCCTGACTTTCTTTGCCAACATTATACGCTAATCATTTCACTTATTCTTTAATTGAAAGTGTCATTGAGATAATTGTATATTCACATGGAGTTGTAAGAAATAATACAGTACACTTGATCCAGTTTCCCTGATGGTGACATTTTGCAAAGCTGTAGTATGTCACAGCCAGGATATTGACATTGATACGATCCACTGATCTCATTTCGATTTTCTGTTTTACTTGTATACCTTTGTGTGTGTGTGTATGTACATTAATTTTTATACACTTTTGTCACCTAAGTTCGTGTATCCATCACCACGTTCAAGATGCTGAACAGTCCCAACACCACAGGTGTCTTGTGTTGCCCTTTTATAACATAAGCCTTAAAAATAAAACAGCCAGTTATATTACCAGCAAAGTGAGTTTATTCGGGAATAGCCAAAGAATTGCAATTCGGGATGTGTAGACCATAGCCAAATCCAACAATCAAAGGAGGAATTTGGAAGGGGTTGTTTGGAACAAAAGTCCATTGGAGAAAAGCAAGAATTCAGGGTGATGATGGTTTCTCATTGGCTGACTTGCTGAGGTAGTCGATTTCTGTTTGGGGTGCAATGTACATTTCTCCCTATAATTAACAATTCTTTCCTGTTGAGGACTTCTGTTGGGGTCTGTAATTGACTATCTTTCCTGTAATTGACTTGGAGTGCATGGGCGCTCCCCCTTCTGGCCTCTCAATTCCATCTTAAATGAGGTTTCCTGTTATTATTTTTCACAATAACCAACTTGTATTATTTTTTTAAACTCCCCATAAGCATTTTCAATGGCTGCAAAATATTCATTTGCATAGATATTACTTATTTCTCTGTTAAGATGGACAATTAGATTATGTATAATTATATACTCTTTAACCTTGCAGTGAAAATCTTTGTGCACAAAACTTTTTTCTGTATTTTAGGTTACTTCCTAAAGATAGGTTCTTAAAATGGGATTACTATGTCAGAGGATAATGAACAGTTTTAAGACTCATTGCATGTTACCAAGTTGCTTTACAAAAGTTTTATAGGCAAAAAAGTTCCCTTTCATTTCCAGCTTTCTTGATATCATTATGATATCAGTATTCATTGCAGACAAAAATTCCCTGCATTTGATACCTCAGAGTTTAGAAAGTGCATTGAAAAGACTTCCTAAAGTAGTTATTGATTTGTTCATTCATTCAGCAAGCTCTTATTGAGCACCTCTTATGTGCTAGGCATCGTGCTCAACATTAGAAATAAAACAGTCAATAAGAGTTTATAATCCAGCCAAGGTGAATGAGGAATTCCTGGGAAGAGGGTTCTCTGGGGAAATAGCTTGTAGCAAACTCAACCTAACTCCTAATGCCTAATTGCTACTGGAAAGAGGAGGGACTGGGGAGGCTGGCAGACTGGGGGCACACACCTGTCGAAAGGAGGCAGCAGTGGCCTCCTAGTGCCAGCTCACTGTGGCCATGATGGAATGTGGGCCCACAGGGCCAGATGTTTTGATTTTTCAAGAGAAGCAGGAAATCGAGGTTTTTAAAAACTGTGTGTGAGCACAGAACATGTTTCTGAGTTACTTCCAGTCGGTGGTCCGCCAGTTGGCAGTTTCCGGTGTCTCTGGTTTCCTGTAGGTGGATTTAGGGAGCTGTTGGGAATGCTGAAAGGAGAGGCAGAATGCCCTCCAGGAAAGACTAACTGCCCCATGTGTTTGGGAGGTGGAGAGACCACCGAGGGAGGTGGAGAGACCGGGAGGGCGGGGCGGGGTAGCGGTTCCCATACGTAATTACCTTGTGTGCTGGTGAGTTTATTCTGTCATATGATGTCCAGTCAGTCCCAGAGGGCGTCAGGGGACTTGGAGGACATTTGATCCCGTGCCTATTTCTGTGTAGGGCCACACCTAAACCTGTACCTTGGGTTCTTAACCACTTCCTGCAAGTAGGTCACTGGGCAGCTGCTGACCTGTGGAGAGAGTGGTTATGGTGTGTGACAGGCAGGATTGAAGGCATCCTTGGCATCGGGTCAGGTCTGCCCCTTGGGTACGTTCAGAATGTGAACTAGGAATTATGCCACCAGAACTAGAACATGAAACATACCCTGAAACTAAGAGAGCCGGGGAGGAGAAAGGAGAGAGTTAATTTTCTTTCTTTCCTGGGAAAGTGAATTAACCTGTGTGAGAGTGGGGCCCCAGGTGGTGAGTTGTCTGCCGTTAACCCCAGGTCCTGGGCTCCGTCCTCCTCTGTGGCTGCGTGAGGGCTGATCCAGAGCCCAGGAACACATTCTGGTCTCGGCAGCCGCCAGGGGCACTGCGCGTGCTTGGGGACAAGGGGTGGAGCGGCGGGGCCAGAAAGCAGCTTAAAAATATGAAAACACTAGTTTTTTCACATCGTTATTTAAGTTTGTTTTCTAAATTTGTTTTTCTTAATCTACTTTCTCATGATTTTTCTAACTTTTTTTGCTACCTTTTCTGAGATGAGAAGACGATGTCAAATCAGCTCATCTCTTTCCTTTAAAACAATGTTGACAGGTGCCCAGTTCTGAATCCTTTTATCTCTGTCTTTCAGGGCAATTTTTTCTGTGCTGGACCTAATGAAGGTGGACATGGCGAACTTTGCGGTCAGTAGCATTAGGCCGCACCTTATGCAGCAGTCGGTTGAATATGAAAGGAAGAAGTTCCAGGAGCTTCTGGAGAAGCAGCCCAGTATGTTTATAGCGTGGTGTTCTCTCGTGGTCTGCGTCTGCTCATTTTAGTTGCTGTAGCTTGTGGCAAATGATATTGTTTTCAAAGCAGAACTAAAATTTAGTATGAGAATAGTCTAATTTGAAGACAGAAAAGCCCAAGATGTTAGGACTTGAAAAGAAAACTTAATTGAGAGACAAGAGAAATATAAATAGGATATAAGAATAGAAATTTAAAAGAACAATAAAGTTCTAAAGTAAATGTGTTTTTCATGAAACCACCAGTTTGGTGTAAATTATATGGTTGGGCTTAATTTTATTTTTATTTTTATTTTTTTTAATTTTTTGTTTATTGCAGTAACATTGGTTTATAACATTGTAAAAGTTTCAGGTGTACATCATTGTACGTCTATTTCTGCATAGATTACATCATGTTCACCACCAAAATACTAATTACAACCCATCACCACACACATGTACCGAATTATCCCTTTCACCCTCCTCCCTC